ATTTTTTGCATATTTAAATAAGAATTTTTGTAGAGCAAGTATAGCTCCATCGCGAGGGATCATCGTATACAGGTTGGCCACATCGAAGGTCACGAACAGCGTAGTTGGCAAGAGACGTCCACTGTCTCGATAGCTTTCGATTTGTCGAACAAACTGTATACTATTGATAATGGTTGTTTCTTTGGCTGCTTGATCGAAGATTGGACGAAGCAAGAGGTCCAAGAAGTGCGAAACGCCCGTTGCTGCTGCTTTGATCGACGAAACAATCGGTCTCAATGGTGTGTCGATCTAGCGAGAATAAGAAACAAGAACGCACAGAGAGTTGATTCACGACAGTTCCTCTCGGGAATCTACCTTGTGTGGTTTGGGAATAAAATAGAGGTGAGCTAGTTCGGTCGAACTGGCAGTGGGTCGCATGTATTGTTTCCATAGTTGCAGATTGATATCTTTGTTCTTCAGCATCGTATCGATTAACGTCAGGACGGTGCGTACGTTCTCATAACATGGATTGATAGCACTGGTGATCTCACGATACGCATTGGTTTCCTGCATGTATTGTACGGCTTTCCGTTGATAATCGTCCGCACTACCCATGTGCAGAACTTTACTTTTATCCGTCGGTCGTACGATTACATTGGACTTTTCGATTTGACATTGAATACTTCTGATCATTCGATGTTCGTATTGAGCACGCGAGAATAATTTCTTAGACAACGGAGCGGTATACAATCGGCGTAGAAGACCATCCACAGATGCGAAGAAATCTTTGGCTCGTTGATCCGAACCGGACACACAGCTGTTAGCCAGACCAGCCTTGAAGCAGCCAACAATAGTATCATATTCGCGTTGAATAGTTTTCTCTATTGGCTTGCCAGAGAAACGACTTTGGCAAGGTGGCACGTACTTTGGCCCATCGGTAGCAGCAGTAAACTGTTTCAACGAAAGAGAACAAGCCACTTCGATGATCGGCGATGATGGTAGAATGTGACTAAACGTATCGGTTAGAGCAAGTATAGCTCCATCGCGAGGGATCATCGTATACAGGTTGGCCACATCGAAGGTCACGAACAGCGTAGTTGGCAAGAGACGTCCACTGTCTCGATAGCTTTCGATTTGTCGAACAAACTGTATACTATTGATAATGGTTGTTTCTTTGGCTGCTTGATCGAAGATTGGACGAAGCAAGAGGTCCAAGAAGTGCGAAACGCCCGTTGCTGCTGCTTTGATCGACGAAACAATCGGTCTCAATGGTGTGTCGATCTAGCGAGAATAAGAAACAAGAACGCACAGAGAGTTGATTCACGACAGTTCCTCTCGGGAATCTACCTTGTGTGGTTTGGGAATAAAATAGAGGTGAGCTAGTTCGGTCGAACTGGCAGTGGGTCGCATGTATTGTTTCCATAGTTGCAGATTGATATCTTTGTTCTTCAGCATCGTATCGATTAACGTCAGGACGGTGCGTACGTTCTCATAACATGGATTGATAGCACTGGTGATCTCACGATACGCATTGGTTTCCTGCATGTATTGTACGGCTTTCCGTTGATAATCGTCCGCACTACCCATGTGCAGAACTTTACTTTTATCCGTCGGTCGTACGATTACATTGGACTTTTCGATTTGACATTGAATACTTCTGATCATTCGATGTTCGTATTGAGCACGCGAGAATAATTTCTTAGACAACGGAGCGGTATACAATCGGCGTAGAAGACCATCCACAGATGCGAAGAAATCTTTGGCTCGTTGATCCGAACCGGACACACAGCTGTTAGCCAGACCAGCCTTGAAGCAGCCAACAATAGTATCATATTCGCGTTGAATAGTTTTCTCTATTGGCTTGCCAGAGAAACGACTTTGGCAAGGTGGCACGTACTTTGGCCCATCGGTAGCAGCAGTAAACTGTTTCAACGAAAGAGAACAAGCCACTTCGATGATCGGCGATGATGGTAGAATGTGACTAAACGTATCGGTTATATTGCTCCGTCGGCACCAGCCACGTTGACTGCCGCCGGAGCGTCGTCGAAAACCGACAATTTTTGTTTTAGAATGACTTGGCTACGTTGTGACATGTTCGTTTGACGTGCAGCAATCGCATTCATCAGTTGAACGAGAGATCTAGGAATAGGGACTTGGCCGTGAGCAGTATCGATCAGTTTCTTCTTTTCTTCAGCAACGATGTTCGAGTGACTGCGTACGAGTTGTTCAGCTGTTTGAATAGCCAAGACCAGAATGTCGTACTTGAACTGAGCGATTAATTTCAGTCGACAAAACGACAGAGTTGCACGTTTGTCCTTGTTCAGTGCTGGTTGTTTCAACATGCTTTCAATGTTATCAATCGAATGATCGAGAACACTGAACGAGGCAGGTAGACGTTTGGCGAAAATACGCTGCTTGAGAATGGCCACCTCGCCTTCGGCTTCTAGTTTGTCTTTTGCAGCTTGCCAGATGATTTTTGCTGAACAAATCTAAATAGTATCACGTACTGCTGTTGATCACTGTCGATACAGATGATCATCTGCGGTTCGTACCTGGACTTCCGTAGGTTTCAGATTGTAAAATTCCTTGACTAGCCGATGATCACTGGCATCGAATTGTAATAATGATTTCTTTCGTTCGAATTCTGCAGCTAGTTTCTGTTGACCGCATCGAACAAAAGCAGGAATAACCAAGGATAGTTGAGTCATGTTGACTGAAAGATTCATGGGTTGCTGTTTATGCTGATGCAATTTACGCTCTGCTTCTCGAAGTCGAGCATCTATTTGCGCGCGATGCTTCTGCAGCTGAGGTCTGGTTTTGAAACTGATTCGATACATGTTGTTTTTCTTGGCCGAGTCTCTCTCCAATAGAGAGGCCCGTGTGGAATCTGACATACATACAGTATCATAGTAAAGCCAAAAGTCCTGTTCTAGTTTCAGATAGAACACATTGTTAACGAAATGAGCGTACGCACGAACGAATTCGACTTTTGTAGGTGTGTCGAGTGATCCAAC